ATCATCATCATCATCATCATTAATATTATTACTATTATTATTATTATTATTATTATTATTATTATACTGTTATTATTATTATAATTATAATTATTATTATTATTATTATTATTATTATTATTATTATTATTATTATTATTATTACAAGATACAGACCTGTTCTACGAACGGTGATATAGTGATAGGAAATCCCAAGATAAAATGTGTCAACTTGATTCATTGCCGTAAGACCTAGGTGTCGACAACATTGTTGGCATAAATGCGCCATCTGGAACTATGTCCTGTTTACATGGCAAGAGTCCTTGAACCCTTCATTAATAATAATATGTATAGATCTATGTACAGGTATACCAGCAGCTTTTTCATTTTGGGAGCTGAATGCGTTTCGCTCTTCTCTCCATCTTATGGCATTGCAATGTTCACAGACGACACTGAATTCACCACAGTCATGTGTCCGTAATCTCCGATCACCTTCAGTTTCACTAAAGGACTGTGCGTGGCACGCTGAGGCCAACGTTGGTCAATTCTTTCTTGGGCTAGCACCCTCAAGGTCTTCCTCCAGATTCTGATTATTAGAAGGTAACTTCTGATTGATAGTTACATTCACCTGTGTTTAGGGGGCATCTAACTACTATGCTGACTAAAACTCCATGGGCATCTTTACTCCGAGCAGATTTCGATCTAGATCAACATCTTCTTTCTAACTATTCCAAATTAGTCTTGAATTCTGTGCTCCAAATACCTCTAGATCTAGATATAGGATATAAAAATCTAGATCGAGAGCCTGGCTCTATAAAAAGCTACACAGAAAATAAGCTACAAATTTTGAAAACGTCAATACAACGAAATGAGCATTATGTGGGTTTAAACGAACTCATCGTGTTGGGGACATCACTACACCAAATATATCTAGAAAAAAGTCAATAGAATGAAGTTTGACCTGAAGTACCAATCGACACTGCGAAACACACTTCCAAACAGAGTTAGATATCGAGAATCTAGATCTGGAAACTATAGAAGCAGCCTTGTAAACACGAAGTAGAACTCTGTGGCACACACGGCAAAGCACAAAGCACACTTCTGTTCTTGCTAACTACTCCAAATCAGTCTTGAATTATGTGCGCCTATAGCCTAATCCATCTTTGATAGAGAGAGATCTGGATCTAGATTCTAGATCTAGAGTCTTGCTCTATAAAAACTACGCACCAAATACGAGTCAAATTTTGAAAACGTCAAAAAAACAAAGCAAACATTTTGTGGGTTTAAACAAACTCAACGTGTTGGGGACATCACAACTCCAAATACAACAAAGTTTGGCCTGCAGTATCTATCGACACTGTGAAGTACACATCCAAACAAAGTTGGATATCGAGATTCTAGATCTGGAAATAATAGAAGCAACTGTCTCACACACAAGACGAAACACAAACCAAAAACAGAAGTAGTCCCCAGTAAAATACGAAATGGCTAATGGCAGAGTAAAAACATCCGAGAGCTCCAATTTACAGGAAAAACCATCAAACCTGAAAAATCAAAAAGTAGTTTTTGAACTTTTGAAAATATACCCACGCAATCCTTTGTGACAATTCTTAACTGAATCACATTTTTGTAGATTTTTTGGGCTCCTGTGTAAAAAATGTATGCTGACCCCACAAACGAGCTTAGCTACTTTATAATACGATTATTATTATCATTGTTGTTGTTATAATTATTATTATTATTATTATTATTATTATTGTTATTATTATTATTATTATTATCATTATTATTATTATTATTATTATTATTATTATTATTATTATTATTATTATTATTATTATCATTAATATTATTACTATTATTATTATTATTATTATTATTATTATCGTTATTATTGTTATTATTATTATTAATAATTTATTATTATTATTATTATTATTATTATTATTATTATTATTATTATTATTATTATTATTATTATTATTATTGTTACAAGATATGTATTATTACTAATATTATTACTAATATCATTATTATTATTAATATTATTATTATTATTATTAATTTTTTTAAAATTATTATTATTATTATTATTATTATCATTATCATTATCATTAATATTATTACTAATATTATTATTATTATTATTATTATTATTATTATTATCATTATTATTACTATTATGCAATACATAATATATACTGTCGGTAGAAAGAAAGGTACCACTTTTGTAGATATTGTAATTATTTGGTGCATCAATTATTGCCCCGGGACCTCAGAGAAATAACGTTTGAGAGAAAACTCAAGACTCATTTGTTAGATTTTTAGCTGTTGTTTGTTAATAAGTGCTGATATGTCTTGTTTTTACTGCTGTCCTTGCGTGTATATAATTAATGTATGGTTGTGAAAGTTCCTCTTTATCTTGTTGGACTAGTTTTCTTGTAACAAAGAAGTGTTTTATCTTGTGTATTACGTCTAGCGATCATGTGGTTGATGTAAAGCGTTCAGAGCTTATACTCGT